CGGCGAAATGACGGTCCAAGATCCAAACTGTCAATCGCAACAATTGACACACAAGCCCAAAATATACATCATATACTCAGGAAAATAATATCAGCGATATCAGCATTATCTACAGCTGTGAAACTTTTGCTGATGAACCTACGCGAATGTAGGCAACTTGTAGGTCCGTCTGCTTGAAACTTTTTCTTTAAAATTTTAAAAGATATTTGCATAGCTATAATCATTTGTGTATCGATATCAGATGACTCGAATAATTTAAGCCGCACAGATGATGAAAAAAAAAACATAAAAGTTAAATCGTATCCTAATTGATTGTTCCTAATAAAAACAAGGGTTTTATACTGATTGCAAGTAACATTTCCTCGGCAGCATTGGTCCCGTGCCGTAATGGCGAGCTTAGCGTACGTGTACTGTATCGGCAGAGAATAAGTGGCCACAGAAATTCTTAATATTACAGCTACAACAGCCGCAACAGTCTCCTGCTAGACATAGTTAGGCCTTCTTTTGCCGGTTATTTGTCATACACACCTAGCAGGCTATCCACCCTGTTTTGTGCACCCTGTGTACAATAGATATTGATAGCCTTAATCTACTCGCTGGCGTTAATTATGTCATTCAAAGCCGTAAACGCAACAGCGAGCTACTGTATTTGGCAATGCTTCAAGATTATGATTCAGATTGAATATACGATAAGCGGAATCGCGCCAGGTGTTACATCTTATCTATCAATAACTGACATTTTCAACCATCTTTACGAGGCGTCATACTTGCATCAACGTCGTGTCGTAGTTTAGCCTTTCTGACGTTTATGTGAAAACTTAACTAGGTATCTGAACTTGCGAACCTATTAACTGTATGGGGCTATACGCATAACAGGGTTATTCATTCCACTTTAATTTTATCTTTTTAAACCCGCCTTTGGCTCACTGTCACTGTCACCATAGTTACCCTAAGCGTCATGTCTTACCGTGTGCGACTGACACATGCGGCCGATGCGGCTATAGTCATAATATGAAAGTGTATGATTGCACCCTTCAAACGCGGCGCCATACATACACACACAGCCGCGAGCGACTGCGATCGGCAGTAGTGGACAGTCTGTATCTGTGAACCTACTTGCTCTTTGGTGTAGTATTGAGTTTTTCATTCCGCCGTTATTTCATTTGTTCGGACCGGGCTCGGCTCAACCCGGCTCACTGTTACGTCCATCGGTCGGTATACTCCTGTTGCGACAAGTGTTCCGAAGGTTTTTATCGGGCTTTGTTATTTTAAATCGAGATCGAACTGCGAAAGAAACGAACGAAAAAAAAAGTAAAAGTATAGCTCGTTCTTTCATCTCGTAGAAAAACTATCTCACTGTTGTGGTAGAATATTATAAAATTCATATCCATAAAACTGAAATTTTGAGGAGCTCAAATTGTTTGGAGAGTGTAGAAACCTTTCAAAGTCACGTGTGGAACCTCGGATTACAAGTAACATTTTGATCCAGTTTTCATATCAGAAATTCCTTGTTTCCTTCCGCGTAAAAAAATGTCACGTAAAATGTAACACATTGTCATCACAAGATGACAGTACTTTAAAAAAATATATCTTTGTAAACAAGAGCAACCAGGAAACACCCTACCATTTATTGTGTAGAGAAAATCCACGCACGATTTACATACGACCTGCGTTTGTAATCCCAGTATCGTTTAGCGGAACGAAATCAGAAGTGGGATCCGAAAGGGTAGCCCGGGAATTAATTCCACTGTGGGATAGTGCAACAGAATGTGATACGTAAATTGATCTCCGTAAAGGATAGTTTGGTTTGGGGAAATAAGTAGGCATGATAATGGGAGTGTCTTGAAATGGGCAATGAAAAAGTTATGGGTGTAACTGACATAGACGATTTGGTGATGTTCGATCTGAGGTTTTAGCACTTTTTAACACTTTGGAAGACTTTATTTTTCTACAAAAAAAAGGGTATTTTGGTCAAGTATGCAAAGTTCCAAACTTCAACTAAGAACTGAAACCTTTTCATGATAGTTGCCTAAACTTTTAAAAATATTGTTAAAAAAATACCTCAAGATAGACTTGACTTTTTTAGAAAGCAAGTAAAAAAACACTCAACGACCTCAAAGATTCCGAAGAGAAAAAAAAATATGCTAAAGAAAGTTTGCCACTCGAGCGTCAAAGAATAACCACCGAAACAAAAGTGCTCCCAAAATTAGATGGAACTTGAAAACTCTGTGAAGTCACAGCCGTTGATCCTGAAAAATGTTCAGAGAGAGACAATGGCAAATTGATTGGCGATGTCAAGCGTTCTCCGGACCGTTGATTAAAACCCTATCAATTTCAGTAGAAAGTGGAAAGTTATTGTTTCGTTGCGTCCCAAAGGAGCTCTTTGAAGTGGTCGTGTAATTACTAACGGGACAAAGAAAATTCTCTTGGTCGCGCTTAATTGTGTTTATATGCTTTATTGATTAATTAACGTTTGGTGGAACTGGCTGTTTAATGGGGCTTTGTCGTTTTGTTTAACAGGTGCTCCAGTTTTATTGAGATACAATTCATTGAGTGTTTAGTTGACAATCATTTTTATTTTTCCACCATGTACAGAAAAGAAATATTGCAATTGTTCTAAGGCGTTAAAAATTGGATAAACGTTTTCTCCAATTGCTGAGGCATAAAGGGTTTAGTCGAATACTAAATTTTAAAACACTTCCCATGTTAGGTAGGTAGGTATACCTTACCTTTACCATTACAGCCACAACAGTCCACTGGACATGGTAGGTATAAAACTTTTGGAAAATACCTATGCAAAATTTTCCAACGCAGGATTTGAGCCTGCGTCTTTCGTCATCAATTTTCCAAAAGCGTAAAGGTTTAGTTAGGCTTCCAGGGGATTGTCGCATTGCTAGAATAAACCCAAAATTGTCGCAGCCTCGTCCGCAGGCAGTTATCTCATCAAGTTGCGTGCCGGGATGTCAAGTGGAAAATTACTGCAGGTTGTGTTACGTCATACAACATTGTGGCAATATTTCAGCGAGCAGCCTTTTCCGGGAATAGTTCTAGGACACAGTGCAAACGAGAATCTCAAGTAAGTATTTGAATTTGGCAAGCCATTCTATCGCTTATAGTCGATTTAAACCTAATTCCATTTGAGTGGAAATAAAAGAAGTCGTTGAATTTATGTGAAAAGTCGTTACTTTTTGATTGACCTGAAAAACTGACAAAATAATTTTAAGACGATTCTCACGCAACAACGTATGATCTTGCGTTATTGATGCGTATGGCAATTAACGCAAGCTTAAGCTTTGCTTATGCGTCAATGTGTTTACTGTTTAGTGAGGGGAATTCGAAATATCCTTGCATTTGACAGACTCATAATGTTACGGATTTTATAAGTCCAACATAAATAGCATGCCTCACGCAGGTAAATTCTATGCTTCGCTCAACTGTTACGTAATTAGTAGCACAAGTTGTCTATGTCTTCACCTAGTACCTTCGTATTATTGCCAGCTGTTGCCAGCAAATCCACCTCTATACTGGTTTTTCTTACAAATACAAAGACAACCAGTATAAGGTGGTCTCTTAATAGTAGGTGGATTTGCCGGCGATGTACACGACAAGTTCTTTCAAATGTCCGCCTGATGAGTTGCAGCCGGACCCGAGTTGGGAACTTTGATTAAACACCACAACTTAGTATTGGATACTCGGCCGAGGCAGCTAGATTAGCATAATATAGTGGAGCGGCTTGATTTCAAGAGCTGGAGCCGCTGGAAGTTAGACTGGCCTTAGTAAAATACAAGATTCGAGTAACAAGGATCAAAACTGGTGATATGAGTATATCAGCAAAAAAATGATTGATGATTCTTGATGTGTACTGCTAGCTTAGAATTTGCTGTGTGCTTCTGGCTTAGAGGTGCCGTCATCCAGGAACTGGATACCAATCTGCTTGCCAAGCGTGTTGAATATAGCAAATACTTCCCAAAGTGATAGGCCGTGGCCGTTGATGTTGACTGCTCGTGTATATCTTGCCATGTACCTTTGTACATGACAAGTTCCTTCAAGTGCCCGCCTGATGAGTTGCAGCCGGACCCGAGTTGGGAACTTTGATTAAACACCACAACTTAGTATTGGATACTCGGCCGAGGCAGCTGGATTAGCATAATATAGTGGAGCGGCTTGATTTCAAGAGCTGGAACCGCTGGAAGTTAGACCGGCCTTAGTAAGATACAGACTATCTAGCCTAAGGACTAAGTCGGATCAAGGCACATGAAATATAATCCACGAAAAATCACTTGATTTGAAAAATGTTAAGAGAGGGTGTTTGCCAGCCAACAGTGAATAGGCAGGAATGATTTCACAGTTGCAAGTTTCACAAATTGTGCAGTCACTGCACCGGACGATAATGCAATTTTTGGCAGGTAGATGGATACTATACAAATGACAACATGTGACAGCCACAATTTTGATGCGGCGGCGGCGTGTGCCATGGTTATAAACTATCAATAACTTCTTGCCTAACAACCGGATCTAACAAAACATTTCGCGGACCGCCCTAGGCGCAAACTTCACAGGCGAGACAAAAACATAAGACGCAGACTTGAAACCGCCTCCATATAAAATGTATGGAACAAAAGAGACGCCGTCTACACACGTAAGACGAGCGCCGCACCGATCGATAGTGGCTGACGATCACTTCTCGTCGCACGTCTCATCTGAGAAGAAAGGCCCTTACCAATCAAATGGTTTGCACGGATGGGCAGCAGTGTAATCAACCCTATGCCTAGCTTGTTTACAATTCTAGGAAGTTTGGAACTAGATTCTACTAGTTAGTGGCCATCTCGCCAACCTATTCTAGTCAATTACTAGTAACTGGAATATCCTCGTGTTTCCTTGAATGTCTATTTCGTACACGAATTCATGTTCAACCTGAAATATGTGCCTCCTATTTGGGAAAACTTTCAAAACTGTCATAAATTTATTGGGATTTTAATACATTTTTACATTTCAAGTCTAGCATCGACCGGAAATCGAACCCGGGACGCGTGAAGTACCTTTCCACCGCTCTGCCACTGATCCATCGAGGCAACGGTTGATGCTTTCCAAATTTCAATCTTTGATGCTCGTCACGGAGCGCCGATACCTACCCCACGCGTTTTGAGTTCGATGCTTGAGATTTTTTAATTTTCTTATTTTAGTTTATGTTTACATGAAGTCAATTAAATTCAATAAAAATAAAATCTACCAGCAATGTTCATTCAAGTTGTTTAACGAACCACCACCGCTACCAAAATATGACAGGAATTTTAATAAAGATGCTGTGAACATAGCCTAATGCGACTGCCTGCGACGCAAAAGGTTCCAGGTTCAATTCCCGGTGGGCCACTTACAAAGTTTTTTGAATTTGTTTTATTAACTTCGTGAACTTGTTCCCAGACTGGTTAGGACATTTCAGGCTGGTTCACCTGATTTTCTGAAAAAGAAGATGATTCCATGCTTCGGAGGGCACGTTAAGCCGTCGATCTCCGTCCTATAACGGTCGTTACACGGTCATGTCAGAGGCCTGCTACTTGTAGTAGGTGGATGAAAAACTCTTGACACAGGGTTTATCGAGTCTTTGGAAGATTCGGTTCCCCACACGGAGAGAGAGAGAGAACATGAATAACAAAAACTTTCAGATTCAGACGTCGCCCGGAGTGAGTTCTCAGAACTAGATAATGATAATTTGGGAAACACTTAATAACGCTTTAACCCGGGCGCGAAATTCATTTGACACGGCGGCGAAGCAAAAGGGGCGCAGAAGAGTAGAAGAGGTAGGTATTTATTATACAGGGTGTCAAGGATGATTTGTCGAAAGCTTTGCAGGCATGATTGGATCAGGAAACGGAACAACTTTAAGTATGGGGCCTTGTTTCTGAAATTGTGGGCTCCATGGTCAAAAGTAGTTCCGTTTGCCTGTCGTCCTGATAACTTCTTAAGGATAGGGAGAAAAACTAGTAACTGATGTTGAAAACGCAGGACGGGTTGGTGATGATAAGTAACAATTATATGACAAACCATTGGACTCCCTAGTTGCCTCAGTCGTTTAGCATCTCGAATGGAATGCGTGAATTGGGATTTGAGAGGTAGTCAGAACTTTTTAAATTTTCGACCTATGCTTCTGCAGGTTTTTTTTTCAGATTCGTCGACTGATTCACCCCTTGAATACCAATTTGTAGCAATTCTCTTCACACCCGATATTTTCCGTAGCAGAAGTAAAAGGGGCGCCTAATAAGGGGGCGCAGAAGCAAGATGGGCGCCAGGAAATTGCGCCCCGTGTCGCCAGCTTAATTCTAGGATAATATTCGGATTACAAGGAACGCCACGTGTGTCTCTCTCTGTGAAGATTGAAGAACGGTTTTAATAGGAAACGGTGAAATGATATTAAATGTGTGCACGTGATATTTCAATTTCAGCGAAGCGCAGCGGTGTTAATTTTCCAGTGTAATTTTAACAGAGAGATTCAATTTCTAAACTTGTCTGAAAATTTTGTAGTAAAATCTTCTGTAGTAAAGAAAAACGCAAATGTTTCACATGAGCGGCACTGAAATCCACGATTTTCAGCCAACGCTATGGCAAAAATTGCACGTAACGTCCATGCGTTATTTTTTTCAGCTTCGGGGTTAGGTCGGACGGCTGTTGTAGAAGGCGTCTGACATCAAGTTTTATCGGGTATTTCGACGACTCGGTGACCCACAAAAAAAGAAAGATGATAAAAAACGATGACATTAACAAACAGCAGATAGTATGGAATATGGAATGAATGGCAGCCTTCATTATGTGCCTCTCAGAGAAATGAGTACCGCGACATTGTTCAATGCAAATTGAATGCACAACTAGCGCTCGAGAAGAGCGTATCGGAGAAACAAGGAGTAGAAAAGAAGTGGAAATAGGGCGATGCTATTTTGTCAAATAGTACCTAGGTAGATGATTCATTATGTTCCTCTGAGCAAAAAGTGCTTGCGACCATGTGTATCGGAGAAACAAGGAGTAGAGAAGAAGGAGAAAAGGGATAATATTGTGGTGCCAGCTATTCTAAGCCAGCATCAAACAGTAGCTGCTACTTTAAATGACTTTCAGCGACATGGTTCGAGTAGAAAATAATTAGAAATGGGGTGATGCTATTCTAAACCAGCATTAATCAGTAAACGCTTCATTATGTGCCTCTCAGCAAAATAAGTACCGCGACATTGTTCAATGCAAATTGAATGCACAACTAGCGCTTGAGACAAGCGTATCGGAGAAACAAGGAGCTGGAAAGAAGTAGACAGGGGGTGATGCTATTCTAAACCAGCCTCAAATCATCCACCTAGGGGATGATTCATTATGTGCCTCTTAGCAAAAAGTGCTTGCGACCATGTTTATCGGAGAAACAAGGAGTAGAGAAGAAGGGGAAAGGGGATGATGTTGTGCTATTCTAAGCCATCATCATACAGTAGATGCTGCATAATGTGACTCTCAGCGTATTAATTCTACATATTATGAACTCTATGGTACCCCTTTTACGACACTCGGCTGGTGGAAACTGGATGGCGAAAACTGGAGATCGTACGTACCTTTAGGCGCGCGCCCTGGGAAAGTAGTAGATAGGCTGATCTGATGAGAGTATTACCAACGCAACTACAAAAAATTCACCGCCATTCTAGGTCTACCTTTTCCTAGCTCCACGGCGCCCCTCATCGGGAACAAAGATATCGACGTCCGGGCAGCACTCAATGCTATCTGCATAAATGAACAATGGCATTCAGAAATATGTCCGCGGCATAGTGAAACGAAAGGTCGCCAACAGGAACGCTTCCTGACTGACACACTTCGGTACGAAATCAATGGAAATATCATCGTCAACAAATCAAGAGCTATAGCGGGCCAGAGCTTCCTTAACAAGGGACTAGCTAGATCCGACAATTCGGTCTTAAGGCCGTCCGCTGCGTCAGGCTGACTGTACGCGCGTTACGGTCCGCGTACGAAGTTCTCTTGACTCCAAGTGGTGAAAATGATGTAAGTGTACCTACTTCGTATGAGTCCTTCGCGTGAAAAATACGCGACACGCAACAGAGGGCCAACGACAGCAAAGCTTACTTACCAGTTACGCGGTTTGAAAGCCGCAGCCTCTAAAAGTCATTTTTATTACATGACTGTCTTCTCCCAACGGCATAGCCTTAAGTACTAACTTTCCTGGCTTAGCTAAGCGAAGGTCAAGATGTTTAGGCATAGACATGTTTCCTGGATAAATATTGATTCATATCCTGTGCATGGCACTTTACTGATTAACTCTTACAATTTCCACCCTATATTATTTTTCGAACGTTAGTTAAGTTAATACAGGTGCAATGTTTAATAAAGGTGAATTCATCACAGTACAACAAGTCAGTTTGTCATTTAGTTGTGTAGCTGCAACAACATAGCTGTTTGAGTCGACCGCAAACCACAATGCAGCTAACCACGGGCGTTGCACCCCGAATTTCAATGTTGCTGTCTGTTTGTATCCCACAACTGTTACAGTAGAAGGAAAAGTGAGTACCTACGTAAGGTAGGTATAAAATCTACTGTACAGTAGAGTTGACCACTGGGCATTGCACGACGAATTTCAATTTTGCTATCTGTTTCACAACTGTCACAGTAGAAGGAAAAGTGAGTACGTAAGGTAGGTATAAAGTCTACTTTACTGTAAAGTTGACCACTGGGCGTTGCACCCCAAATTTCAATGTTGCTATCTGTTTTGTATCCCACAACTCCTACAGTAGAAGGGAGAGTCAGTAGGTAAGGTAGGTATAAAATCTAATTTACTGTAGAGTTGACCACTGGGCGTTGAACCCCGAGTTTCAATGTTGCTGTCTGTTTGTATCCCACAACTGTTACAGTAGAAGGGAGAGTCAGTAGGTAAGGTAGGTATAAAGTCTACTGTACAGTAGAGTTGACCACTGGGCATTGCACCGCGAATTTTAATGTTGCTTCTCTTTGTATCCCACAACTGTTACAGTAGAAGGAAGAGTGAGTAGGTAAGGTAGGTATAAAGTCTACTGTACAGTAGAGTTGACCACTGGGCGTTGCACCCCGAATTTCAATGTTGCTGTCTGTTTGTATCCCACAACTGTTACAGTAGAAGGAAGAGTGAGTAGGTAAGGTAGGTATAAATTCTACTGTACAGTAGAGCTAACCACGAGCGTTGCACCCCGAATTTCAATGTTGCTATCTGTTTCACAACTGTTCCAGTAGAAGGAAAAGTGAGTACGTAAGGTAGGTATAAAATCAATTCCATAATAGAGTTGACCACTGTTTGTTGCACTCATGGACGTGTAAGTTGCACCCCGAATTTCAATGTTGCTAAGTATCTGTTATCCTACAACTGTTACAGTAGAAGAGAGAATCAGTAGGTAAAGTAGGTATAAAGTCTTCTCTACAGTAGAGTTGACCACTGGGCGTTGCACCCCCGAATTTCAATGTTGCTATCTGTTCGTATCCCACAACTGCTACAGTAGACGGAAGAGTGAGTAGGTAAGGTAGGTATAAAGTACAGTAGAGTTGACCACGGGCGTTGCACCCCGAATTTCAATGTTGCTGTCTGTTTGTATCCCACAACTGTTACAGTAGAAGGAAGAGTCAGTAGGTAAGGTATCTATCTCTAATCTACTCCGCAGTAGAGTTAACCACTGAGCGTTGCACCCCGAATTTCAATGTTGCTATCTCTTTGTATTGTATCCCACAACTGTTACAGTAGTAGGGAGAGTCAGTAGGTAAGGTAGGTATAAACCTACTCCACAGTAGAGTTGACCACGGGCTAAGCAACCCGAATTTCAATGTTGCTATCTGTTTCTATTCCACAACTGTTACAGTAGAAGGAAAAGTGAGTAGGTAAGGTAGGTATAAAGTCTGGTACAGTAAAGTTGACCACTGGGCATTGCACCCCGAATTTCAATGTTGCTTTCTGTTGTATCCCACAACTGTTACAGTAGAAGGAAAAGTGAGTAGGTAAGGTAGGTATAAAGTCTACAGTGCAGTAGAGTTGACCACTGGGCATTGCACCCCGAATTTCAATGTTGCTATCTGT